TCTTGAGACACATCCTCTAATCATCATCTTTCTTTTGTTCTTAATTTGGAACTCAAAGAAGCTTCGTGCCACAAAAATGAAAGTGTGAAAGTGCATATACCAGACGAGGCCAGTAGAGCTCTCCTGCCTAGTGGAAGGTAGAGGTAAGTGTTGTGAAACTGACTCTTTGAATGTTCATTTTGTATTTTCTTCCTTACTGTCCCACTGACTCTCAGAATCCTTGCTCAGTACTAGCAGCTGGGCCTCAGCGGTAGAAATTAGCCAAAGACACGAGGAAGTTACATACATATTTAAGAGTGTCAATTGAGCATATGAGATAAAGTACATATAAATTAGGGATACAGGAGTTCATGGGCCCTTTTTGAGTCCTTTTGTATTTTGATATCAACGGTCACAATCCAAATCAAGCATACCCCACCCATTCTGAATGTTAAGATGGTCAAATAGTTAAATCTGTTGGACTGACCAGATCATGTTAATATCTCCCATTTTGGAACTCTAAAATCCTCAAGTGCTGTCTCTCTTATCTTTGCATCTTCAGAGAAGGTTCTCAGTAAATGTTTACTGAAAGAAACTGAATGAATGAACGAATGAGTAAAAGCTAATAAAAGAGAAAACAGCAGGCCTCAGAAGAAAAGTAAATGCATAGTAAAGTGCTTGGCTGTTGAGCATAGGGCTTAATTAGCCTTAGATTATTCATCTATTGTCAATAATATTTAAATCCTGAATTTTGACATATCAAAGAATTAAAATATGACACGAGATGCTAATGATCTGGAAGTAACTACGTTTTTCTCAAATATAAATTGGTCTGTTCTACTAACAAAGAAGTCCTACACCTTATTTTTTACCACACTGTAGTTTCCACTACGCCATTCACAGTTTCTACACACAGGCAGCAGGATGCCAAACCGCCAATGAGAGGAATTATGTGGTGTCAGAGTAAAACCAGCCACAAATGAACGTTGTCAGAATCACTTAGCACAAATAGTTGAGGGCAACTCTGCGGATGCATTTGCTGAGTAAGCAAAAGATAACACAACTTCCCAGACCAGCTTTTTAATGTAATAAAAACAAACCCTTCCAAATATAGTAGGATCCCCAGACACTGTGCCAAGTAAAGTTAATTTAGATACACATCTCAGGAACTCAAGTCAGGAAGAGGGCACATCCCAAAGCACAAAACTTAAAGGTTATGAATGAATCCTTCAATTTCAAAGACATCTTCATGTTTTATAACCACAATGACCAGTGCAGTGTGAAGCATAAAGTTGGGTCCCATTAAATGGTTGTGGACAGAAGGGAGGGAGGAGGTAAGCAGGGAATGTGTGTTGGTTAAAAGAATCAGATACAATAAATTATTTTGGAATATGATAGTCATTAGTGCCCACCGAACACATCTGAGTCTACATCTTCCAGACACAAGGAGGAGACTAGTTCCTGGCCCCTTTTGTGGCTAGTTTGAGCCACGTGATTAAATCTGCTCAATGAGTTGTGAGAGGAAGTGAAGTGAGTCTCTCACGGGTCAGAGCACTGATTACTGGACAAGGACCTCCAGAGATCTCTTTCTGCCATGGTGAAAGGCAGTGTTTGCAATGGACAGAGAAGGAGGAGACAGTGAATGGAACTCCACTACCTTCCGCACTGAACATGTTCCCTAAGTGAGAACTAAACCCTTATGATAAAGTCGCTAAGATTTAGAGGCTATTTTCTATTACATAGCCTTGCTTATCCTTACTCGTTCACTCAGGCATTTTCCTTCCTGTCATGATGCCAGGTCTTCTGTATTGTTCGTTCGTTACATATGAACATATCCTCACACTGGTATATTTTTTTTAGAGTAGTGTGATCTTCTAAATATTTGCAGTTAGACTTCACTGTGGGAAGCTGTCGTAGAAACCATGACAAATCCTTACATTTATTCATTTACATACCATAATCTGGAGGGAAAGTTCCTAGAAAGAACAAGCCTATTTCTAGAAACGCTTTTAAAAATGTTTGGATGATCCTAAGGAAAGTATCAAGAAAGTTACTCAGAGAAAAATTAAGGCCAGTCTTTATTTAAAGTAGTTTGAAAATATACAATAAATGTGCATGCTTATCAAATTGTTACAGATATGCTTGGTTTCTCGTAATAATTTAAGTGCAATTTCTTCTGAACCATGATGTTCAAATAGTAAACACATTCTGCCCTTTCCTTTTCAGACTGAAATATCCCCAAAGTACACAAAACACTGGAATTGTGGTCTATTTAACCTATTAGGGCATATCTTTGGTCATTCCGGAACCCTCAGCACCTTAACAGAGCGATAACCTACTGGTAGAAATGAATCTCCATGAACTTCCTCCTAAATACGATTACCCTCTTTTGTGACAAAGTTCCTTTTTGGATGAGATATCTCTCAGCAAAGACAATGATACCATTCATCAGCATATCAAGAAATATTACATCTTAAGTACAGAATAAGTGCTACATTTTGTTTCTTTTTCACATCCCTTACAGAGGGTTGTAGTCTAGACTTAGAACAAGTATAGGTTGCCTTAAATGTGTTAACTTCGTTATACAAATATAATGCATGAAAAATTAATTTTAAATCTATTACATTTACATCAAAGCATGTAGGTTTAAATTTAGACAGCTAGGATCCAAACCTAAATCTTATCTCCACCACTTATTATCTGTGTTTTTGGGCAAGTTGCTTATCTTCTCAGTGCCCTATCTTCCCCTTTTCCAAAATGTGATCAATGACAATATCACTTGGTCCATAGTATTACGAGGACTGGATGTGGTAACATATGGGAAGCATTAAGAGTAGTCCCTTGGTTCAAACCAGTATTAAAAATACATCTTAGTATTATTATTGCTATAAAATAAAAGAATAACTGAACCATAGATGTATTCTTAAACACATATATTCGCTTGAATTATTTAGAAGAGGAACATAGAAAATGCGTGTCACTTCTCACACAGAAAGCTATAATTTCCTAAATATATAAGCATAATTTTCTAAATATATGTCACTATTTCACAGATATCTAAAATTACCAAAAGAATCCTAGCATCTCTTCCTTATATTGCTATGAGTTAAAGAACATATTTTATGTATTTTAAATTAACGACTAAACTGTAAATTAATTGAAGTATGAGATATTAATTACAAAATCCAAAGGAAAACAGTAAAGTCATAAAGTAATTTTTGATAGCTTTTGTGTGGAAATTCAAGCACGTCAGTATTTATTTCAACAAGTTGTACCTGTAAATCTAGTGAACATGCACGATATTTCAACCAAGCTTGAGTTACAACCTTGATAGCCTCTCGCCCTGCACAAGAACGATGTAATGCTGCCATCTAGTGGAAGACCGACATCACTGCAGGGACGCTTCAAAATTTATAAAAAGCCTCAAATAAAAGAACAGTCACATTTCGCATATTGACATTTTAAATTTTAAATCTTGAAAGTGGATCTGAGACAAAGAGTAATTTTGTGATGTTACAAGGAGAATTATTTAAACGTAGTATGAAAAAACAAGATATAAAGGATATGTACAGGTCCAACTTTGGGCAAGTGTAATAAATAGTGCACAATTATTAATATAAATACCTCTCTATGAAGGAATAATGGAAATTTTGTGAAAAGAAATGTTTCACAATAATTCACTAGTCATAAATTTTAATGTTGCATCAATTGGAAATCTTTTTTAATATCTTCTTGTACTTAGACAAAAAATACCAATTGCCACAATAATAAAGGAACATTTTCAAAGCACAAAAGAACAAAAAGAAAGATGAAATATGATATCTTTCTAAATACACAAATATAAATACACATACACATAATCACTTTTTAGTATAAAATGAAAAGGAAAGCCATCGCCATTTGTTGTTTTGTAGTTACTGATTTGCCCAAGATTAAAATCTGGTCAAGCTTGACCTAATGGCCAGAACTTCTAACTTCAAATACAATGGTTTTGCTCTCACTCAATAGTGCTCAGTAACTTAAGGCTTCTTCACAATACAACTGTCAGAACTAAAATAAGCTAACATTTTCACTTGTAACATAATTATCTAAAATACATAGAAATATCATAAGTGACAGTTTTGAGCATTTTTCACATATATCCATGAATAGATAGATAGGTAGGTAGGTAGATCATTTTAAAGAAATACTGTTAAATACTAGAAATTAAAGACACCGCTGGAAAAAAGACACATTTGCAGAAAGTAAGTAAAATGAATTCCAAAAGGCAAGCCCACCCCAATATTTGTGAGACCTGAGGCCTCTGGGACCCCTTGGGTGGCAGTCCCTTCATCATCTCTTCCCATCCCTCACACTATAAGGGAGCATCACACACATGCCTCTAAGACACTCCAGCCCACAAGTGCAAGTTCAGACCCTAACCCCTATACACCCCACCTCTACCCTCATCCTAAAAGCAGGCTCCCATGGTTTAGACCAGGAATCTGGAATCTAAGTTACCTGGAATGCGTTAAAGCTTTGGATGGGCATTTTGCCTTGACCCCAAAGGCTTCTCACCCTGTGTGGAGGGGCATCCGTGGAAGGACAAGCAGAGTAGGGTCCACTAAAGGGTGTCCGGTGGTACCGGCATAAGCATGGTTTAGAACAGGACATATTTTTGAGTGGCTAGACGGTGGAGAGATGGTGTGCAATGATGATGTCAGAGGGTATCCTCAAGCATTTTTCTTAGCTTGTGTATTGTTCTAGGGTCTTGTTCTAGAATGGAGAATATCAAACTTTCCATGGAAGAAAGAAAGACAAGAATTAAGGGTAGTTATCATGGGATGCTCCTATCTGTTGTGACCCATTAGAGTCAAGTGAAAACTTAGCCTCTCTGATTTGTGATGTTGACTATGGAGACCAATTTTCCCTTCAAATATGAGGTGTCTATTCTTCAGTCTGTTTTCATTTTGCAAGAGGCATGAACATGCCAGATACATAAGGAATGATGTTATCATATGTAGGCATACGTATATCCTTACCATGCTGTTCATTTTTGAAGATGACGAACTTGCCCTTTGCTTTCTTAGACTACTACCTTCTTCACCATTTCCATCTTTTGGTTTCAAAGCCATTCTGCTACTCCCTGCAGTCCCTTCTGACGAGGATCGCAGTCGCCTCTCTACAAATCTTCCTTCACGATACGGACTCAGGCTACTGGCGAGAACTATTAAAAAAATAAATAAAAATTAATATAAAAGCTTAAATGTAGTTTTTATAAATGTTCCATTTAAAGCAAAGAGGAAACTCTTAGTGTCATTCAAAAATTCTCTATCACTGAAAACTTTTTGAATTAATAGTGGAAGTTTAGTTTGCTTAATCATGTAATCACTTTGAAGTCCAAAACCTTGGAGTCATCTTTGGCTTCTTCATCCCTCCTATAAATCTGATAAGCACATCCTATCCTTAGTTCCTTCAAATCACATACAGAATCTGATCACTTCTCACTACCTCCCCCACTAATATTTTGGCACAAACTCCATCAATGCTTGCCTCGTTTACTGCAATACTTTCTTGATAGTCTCCTGCTTCTGCCTACTCCCACCTGCTTCTCCCCCACCAACACACAATCTATTTTCCACATGGTAACCAGAATGATATGCTTAAAACATAAGTGAGATCGATCACAGTCACTCCTCTAGTCATAAAGCTGATGCTTTTCCAATGGCCCAGCAGGTCCCTCATGATAGGACCCTACTCTCCACACCCACATTGGGGGCCTCCCTATCACTCACCTGTTCACCTCTCTAACCTCATCTTCTACTTCCCCCCTCCTTCACCCTGTTTATGGCACACTGGACCTCTTGCTGTTCCTGGCACAGTGCAGGCATGCTCCAGACCCAGGATCTTTACCCTATAGCCTTTGCACTAACATACTTCTCTCAAATATCTGTATGGCTTGCTCTCTAACCACCTGCAAATCTTTGCTAATACGTTACCTTGAGTAATATCCTGTTCACTATACTCAAAAATGCAAACTAAAAACAAGAAACTATCAAGAAGAGAAATTAAGAAAACAACCCCATTTACAATTGCACCAAAAAGAATAAAATACTTAGGAATAAATTTAACCAAGGAGGTGAAAGATCTCTACACTGAAAGCTCTAAAAGATATTGATCAAAAAAATTGAAGAAAACACAAATAAATGGAAAGATATTCTATGTTAACGAATTGGAGGAATTAATACCATTAAAATGTCTATATCGCCCAAAGTGATCTACAGATTCAATCCAATCCCGTCAAAATTACAATGACATCTTTCACAGAAATAGAAAAAAAAATCCTAAAATTTGTATGGAACCACAAAAGAACCCAAATAGCCAAAGCAGTCTTGAGAAAGAAGAACAAAGCTGGAAGCATCACACTTCCTGATTTCAAACTATATTACAAAGGTATAGTAATGAAAACAGTATGGTTTTGGCATGAAAACAGAAAAATAGATCAATGGAACAGATCAGAAAGACCAGAAATAAAACAATGCATATATGGCCACTTAATTTTTGACAACCCAAGAATGTACAATGGGGAAAGGATAGTTTCATCAATAAAAGTGTTGGGAAAACTGGATAAGCCACATGCAAAAGAATGAAACTGGATCCCATACATAAAAATCAACTCGAAATGGATTAAAGACATGAATGTTTAAGACCTGAAACTATAGAACTTCTAGAAGAAAACATAGGGGGTAATCTCGTTGACATTGGTCTTGGCAATGATTTTTTGAATTTGATACCAAAAGCAGAGGAAACAAAAGCAAAAATAAACAAGTGGGACTACTTCAAATTAAAAAGCTTCTATACAGCAAAGTAAACAATCACAAAATTAAAACACAACCTATGGAATGGGAGAAAGTATTTTCAAATCACATATCTCACAAGGAGTTAGTATCTAAAATATACAAGGAATTCATACAACTCAATAGCAAAATAAAACAAAAATAACCGAATTTAAAAATGGGCAAGGGACCTAAATATTTTTCCAAATAAGACATACAAATGTCCAACAGGTACATGAAAAGATTCTCAACATCACTAATCATCAGGAAAATGCAAACCAAAACCACAATGAGATACCACTTTACACCCCTTAAAACAGCTATCAGTAGAAAATCAAAAGATAACAAGTGTTGGAGAGGATGTGGAGAGAAGGAAACCCTTGTGCACTGTTGTGGTCACTATGGAAAACAGTATGAAGGTTCCTCAATAAATTAAAAATAGAACCATATGATCTAACCATCTCATTTCTAGGAATATATCAAAAAGAAATGAAATCATTATCTCAAAGAGATATCTGCACTGCCATGTTCACAGCAGCATTATGCACAGCAGGTATGGAAATAACCTAAGTGTGCATTGATGCATGAATGGATAAAGAAAATGTGGCATATATACACAGTGGAATATTATTCAGCCTTAAAAAAGGAGAAAATTCTGTCATTTGTGACAATACATACAGATTCATGCTAAGTGAAATAAGCGAGAGAGAGAAAGACAAATATGCATGGTATCACTTATACATGGAAACTAAAACACAAAAAAGTCAAACTCATAAAATCAAAGAATAGAAGAGTGGTTGACAGGGGCTGGGGCTTGGGGGAAATAGGGAGAGGTTGATAAAAGGGTAGGCACTTTCAGTTATAAGATAAATAAAGTCTGAGGATCTAATGTATTACAAGGTGACACAGCTGATAACACTATGTTGTATACTCGAAATTTGCGAAGAGAGCAGAAATTAAATGTTCTCAAAAAAAAAGGGTAAATGTGAGGTGGTGAATGTGTTAATTAGCTCGATTTGGGGGAAACCTTTCACAATGTGTGCATATAGCAAATCACCACGTGTACACCTTAAATATCTTACAATTTTATTTGTCAATTCTACCTCAATAAAGTTGAAAAAAATGTAAACTACAATCACACCCCCTACTTCCTAATCCTTTATTCTTCTTTAAACTTATCCTCAGTAGTTATCACCATCTGACATTGATTTACTTATATGTTGATTGGGTATCCAGAGTAGAAAGTAATCTTCACGAAGGTAGAAATTTATGGCTGTTTTGTTCATTGCTATACCCTTAGTGCCTGAAACAGTGCCAAAACAAATATTTGTTGAACGAATGAATGAACTGTTCTATTTAGGCTGATCTATCGGTTTAAAGACTTTTGGCTATTACGTATTAGGCCAACATATAGCAGTTCTTTTTAAGTAAGTTTTTAAGCCAATGAATAGAAATTAAATTGCCAGAGAGCTCAACATTCCATTATTAATTTTGATAGAAATGCACACTTAATAGATTCAGATGTGTATTAAATACTAGCTTAAACATGTTTCATAATAAATATAGAATAAATTTAATATTATGCAATTTAGCAACTCTTTCTTGCACAAAATAAATTTCCTAACTGGCTTTAAAACTTTAAACTTACAAATTATAAAATCCTTATGAATATCAGATGAACATCACAAAATGAAGGATAGTATACTATCATCTTTACCTGTTGACACGACCAGTTTATTTGCCTATTTCTATTTTATGAGTTGTAGATTACATGAACAAGCAGCTCATGCCCAAGAATAGGCATCACATTGTCAAATTCAGTGAAATTAGTTTAATGTGTTAAATGGCTTGCAATTATGATCTCAGTCAACAGATTAACAGTCAGCAAGATAATTGTTGGTCATTCCCTGGTTTCCATAGAGATAAATATATACAGTATTCAATTTGACATTGAGGCAAGTCATCATTTCTAAATAAGAATTAGATATAATTAGTATAATTATATTTCTTTCCGTTTTTTATATTATTTCTTTTAAAAACTGCCTGCATTCCAATCTGAGGTCCACCATTTGCTAACAATGTGATTTCTTAAAGTTATTAACTTAATCCTAAACTTAATCCTAAAATAGTTATCAATAACTGCCACATAAAATTTTGGTCAGGATTAAATAAAACAAAGGACTCAAAGTAGCACATTTTTTGGCACACATTAAGCATACCAAAAGGATGACCATCATCATTCTTATCATTATACTAGAGTCAAAGAATTAAGCAGGTATAGCTAAAGCCAAAAGTACAAACAAGGCTCACAAGATCAAAATGAAAAAAGTATGCAGATGGGCAAAAGTGATATTGTATCAAATGTGAAAAATATTAACATAATTAGAAAGTTAATTCATGCATTTAAAACTTTAAAATTTCTATATTCATGGAGGGACTAGTTACATAAATCATATAATCTTGTGATTCTTGACATTATAACATATAATTTGACTTATTATCAATTTTATTTAATATTTTAGTATTATTCTTAAAGTTTTGGAAACATCCAGGGTCTTGGTGTATAGCACAACCTAGTCATTACGAGTCTGAGCTTTGGATTGAGATAGTTACTTAATGTAATTGAGTAATGTAATGCTCTGTTACTTACCAGCCATATAATTAGGTCTCAGTTTTCTCCCTGGTAAAATGGGGAAATTACTAGTGTCCACCTCATAGAGTTTGTATCCCAAACAATTCCTTACTAACTTTGTGACTTCTGACACATTACTTAACCTATCTGTGCTCCAACTGTCTTGCCTGTAAAGTGGGTTACAATAATAGCAATGACTTCAGTCATTTCAGGATTCCATAAATCAATGCACCCAAAGGGCAGAGAACAGTAAATGGGACATAATCATTCAGGGTTGGAAGAACAATTAGTAACAGTAGCAATAGCAACAGCAGCAGCAGTGGTAGTAATCATAGTAGAGAAAAAAGAATTAAAAATAATGTCAAATACAGCCCGAGGTGGTATTTATTCAACAATTCTCCTGAGCTGAATTTTATATTAAATAACAAAGTTTTCTGTTAAATAACAGATCGGAGTAATTCAACCTCTCCTCTCCCTTTCTTTAAACCAAAGAGAAGGTACCCAAGGTCACACAGGTAGTTAGTGACAGAGGCAAGGTTAGAAACCAGGGTCTCCAGCCTTCAAAGACAGTATTTTTAAAGCTTGCAATTCTATCATATCCAGAGACAGAGATTATTGGTACCAAAACACGCATCCTATTCAATAATGCAAGCTTTGTTAAAATAGGAAATACAATTTAAATTATACAAATTTCTTTTATAATGACTTTAGCTAGAACATATCCATTTCATTAACTAAGAAATATCAATACTCTATCATAAATTCTAAAAAAGATCGTCCTTATTTTAGATAAAGCCACACTGCAAATAAAATTAGTTTCCTTCTATTTTCTTCTAAGGGTCAGAATCTCGACAACACAACTAAGAAAAATGAGGACTATTGCTGAATTACATTTTCAGCATAATATAATTGAAGTAAGTTTAAAATTAAATAGAGAAATGATTTAAAACAAATTATAAATAGCTAAGAATAATAGAAAGTGAAAAATAAAGAAAATGTAGTTTCCATTCATGAAATGGAGTAAGAAAATTGAATAAATTATAACGAAAATCATAATTCATATCATTTATTATACAAAGAAAATCATCATACCTTTAGCAGGATTTGCATCATAGCCATATGATGTTTTGCTAAAAATATGATGATCACCAGAAGAGGGTATTATCCTTGAATCTGAAATAGGATGGATCGCTTTAACACGTTCAGCTAATGCTTTGTGTTGCTCATAAAATCCAAGTTTCTTTGGGGAGCTTGTCGCCAGCATTGTTTCACCATTTTGTAACACCATATGTTCTCTTTGCATATTTGCTGACAGATGAGTCTCGGATTCACTCCCATTCATAACAGGTAGTTCAGTGATTTGCAATAACACTTCCTTCTGATTAGCAGCAGAGGTTTCTGGTAAGGAATTAGATTCAGTGCTACATCGACCTTCTAACCTGTATTTCCCAGGAGACAAAATTGCACAGGGAAGAGTTCCCATAAAATCTATTGTTGTTTTTGTAACAGCAGCAGGATTGGGAGAAATCTGAGAGGTAGAATCATTGTGGCCAAAGTTGTCACAGTGGGATGCCATGCTTCCACTTTTAGGAAATGCATCTACTTCAGACACAGAATCTTCAGTCAAGGCTAAGAACTCTGAAGGTGTCTGAGCTGTGGTAAGATCAGTAGAAAGCAATGGAGATTGTAAAGAGCTTCCGGCCCGTTCTGTTACATCCACAGAACAAGATGGAGAAGCTCTTACTAACACTGGTTCCCTCTCTTGGTACTGTGTAATTTCCAATGAGAATCCAGATTGCTGTACCAATGAAATGGATTGGCTCTGTGGAACGGGCTTAGAAAATTTATAGTGAGATGAAAAAGATTTAGTAAGCAGCTTCTTTGTTGACTGCTTAACGGAACGGCGAGTTTGTTCTTCTGTGAATCCAGAATCATCCCCCTCACTTTTGCCAGAACTTAGGCAATTTATAAAGACATTCTTATTAGTTGAGTGCTCTTTTTCCCTTTCAAAATCCTCTGTCAAAGATCTTGTTATCTTCTTATTTCGTGAACTACTAAAACCAACAGAATGTCTTCCCCTGGTTTTAATATGTTCTTCCAAACTCAGTTTTTGCATACTGCTATGACCAGACTGAGCACCATTTGAAATACTAACATTCTGGTTTGTAGGTTCTTGCTTAGGTTCACTTCCCTTCTTATGATGGAAGCTAATGGAAGGAGTACGGAAGATGCTCCTGCGTTTACCTGTACTACCTGAGCTTGAGTTAGTGCTGGAAGGAGAGGAACTGTGGACACCAACTGTATTACTGGAGGAGGGTGAAGAAGGAAGAGAATCATGTCTTCTGCTGATACTTCTTCTGAATATTGGCAACCGGGAGACCAGGGTAGATCGTCTTGATCCAGAGTCCCCCATTGGGACTCCAAGGCTTGCACTGTGATAGCCAACTTAGCAACCTAAGAAAAGTTGAAACAAATATAACAAGTCAATAGAATTCAATTAGAAACAAGACATTTAAAAAAATATTGGTTTTCAAGACATGGAATAGAATTTAGTCTATATTAAAACAATAAATAAAATTCTGATACTCAAGGATTTCTCTGAATTTATAAGTAGCAAAATTATCCAATAATTTGCATAGAAATTTGATAACGATGCAAAAATTTCAAGATTACCAAAAATATTTAAAGTCTATTCAAAAGACTGTTGGATTGGGAGACACAAGATCACTATTTAGGACCCAGCCTTACTACTCACAATGGTTCTATAATTTGGTAAATTGTTTAATCTTAACTTTTATGTCTATTTATTTAGCGATCGTAGGCACGTGACAGCATGATCATTGTCCTCTGGGTAAAACGCCCCACCACTGCCTCTGTTGGCCAGCCCAGATGTACCATGGAACTCAAGTTAATGACCTGCGTTTCACAGAGTCACAGACTAGACTAAGATATGACCTGACACTAAAATTTCCATTCAAAGAAAAACCAATTGGGACAGATTCTTCCTCTTGGAATTTGATTCAGGAAGTTTAGAGATAATCTGGCCACTGGCAGAGGAAACCAAACCACACCACAAAGGATTTAGAGTAGAGTTATAAACAAGATGAAGTTATAAGGAAACCACAGCTATGAGTTGAAGAAAAGATGAATGAAAGCTAATTCAACTGGTAATGTGGAGACAAGTGAGAATACATAGTGAGAGAAGCAGAAGCATAGAAAATTTATGAACCATGTTAATGTCAGGATACTGATGATGAAGGAAAAAAAAGAAGGAAGAGGAGAAAAGGCTATGATGTACCATGCACTTTTACACACATCATCTCTTTTAACGCTTATAACTGTAGAAGTAAATAATATTACTATGGACGTTTTACAGTAGAAAGGTAACTTGTCCATGTCAGTCAACTAACAAGTGGTAAAGCAGGAATAAGAAGAAACTAAGTCTTATCTAACCACAAGGTCATCTCAGAATCATCATGGCATATTCTGCTTTCACTAGAGTAAAGAGCCAAGTGCTTGTGCCACTAAAGGCCTAGATATGCTTCCACATCAGGAATTCCTGGTTAATCCTGCTATTTTGGTAAGTGCTCTTTTTCACTGGTTTTCATAATGTGCCATGATTTGGTTCCAATTCTGTTTTGTTTTGATTTGCTTCTAAATTTCACTTAATTCCTTAACCATACTATTCACACTCTCTTTGTCAACTTGAATGAGACTATTTCATATTTTTGGTTTTTTGCAACCAAAACTATCTAACTAAACAATAACAAATAACTACATAAAATGACAAGGCCTCCATTTTATCATCTTTAGAGATATATTATGAGATTGATCATACAAAACACCTTCATGTCCTTGAAGAAGTATGTGACAAAGATGTAAAATATTTTCTTTTTCAAATATGCATTCATAAATATTTGATATTTTGTTCCAAATGATATAAAATCTAACAGATTTACATTGCATGATCTTCACTGGCCGATTTTTAGTTGTACTCACAGAATTGGAATTCGAATCAAACTATGTGTGAACCACTTCCAAAATATTTAAGTATTCTTATAAGGTTTTGGCAGAAGAAAGCTTAAAATATAAACAAAGACATTTTAGCTCTTGAAATCTTTCACAAATTAGAACTATCTCATTTTCCTCCCAGCTTAGATTTTCTAAAGTGGATACAAAAGATAATACATTTTTTTCATGATTTCACTCTTAATAATGCTTTAATTAACATCATTCTCTGTTGTGGTATTTCATTTACATGCAAGATTTCTTTCCATTCAATGCCTGGTGAAGAATTTTACTCTAATTAGAGCATTATCAACCATAATGATTTGCAGCTGGTGGTGAACCTATGGCCTTCAATGCATTAATGTCAAGATATTTACCATTATTACTGAACTATCTTCAGAATTTATGTATACTGAAATATTTCTTGACTTTTTTTTAGTATTTCTTGCATTTGTACCAGCATTTAAAAATGAAAGTGTGACTCAGTTCCATATCTCTTTAGCAAGTATTCTAAGGATTTAACTAATGAAAAAGTTTCAGAAAAAAATGTCACAACAATTTCTCCTCTTCCTAAATACTTAATGAAAACAACCAGACTTCCATTGGGTAAAATAATATATTCAGGCTACTAATATATTTGTACTAATTTATTTAAGTAAAAACATCATAGATACTAAGAGATATTTACACATTGAATGGGACGACATGGAGCAGATATAAAATCTATTAGAGATAAACATGTTTTAGATTTCACTTTGTCTACTGATAGCCTTTTAAGTGAAGTTCTTTATTTCCTACTGAGAGCTTTCCAGCTAAACAAGAGAAAAATAAAGTATCTATAGGTTGGAATTATCCATATTCTTTAGAAAGACTCTTCAAGGTCTGGATGCTTTCTACATCTCCAGATTCAATACTCCCCTCCTCACATTTCACTTGCTAATTGCACTGATTACTACTTGCCATATTGTGTTCATTTCCACCTTCTGGGCATCTGCAGACGTGGGTCCACCTACTTGAGATGCCCTTCCTATAACTTTGATGTGGCAATATTCCTACTTCTATACTATCAACTCTTCCAGGATGCCATCTCTGATGCCATTCTCACTCTCTGTGAATGTAATACTCTTCCCTTATGTATCCTCAAGTATTACCATAAGAAACATCTGTTTGTTTATCTGACTTTACTATTTTAGCTTAGGTTTCTTAATGGCAAAGACCATGTCTACTTTGCTTTGAGACATCAGTGCCTAATAATACACAATTAGTATATATAGAGTAAATGCATTTCAGAAAATGAAGTTTTAACTTGAACACATCAGCATTTCAAACATAAAGAAACATATTTTCTGTCTCACTACCATAAACAAATGCTATAATTTTGAGTTTATGTTGAATTACAACTTTTAGAGATTCATAAATTAAGAAAGTCTTTCAAACTATAAAATCATTCAATAATCTAAAAATAGCTAACATTTGAAAACAGTAATGCTGAACAAGTTGAATTAAACAATATATCATCACATCAACTTCAAAAATTCATGAAAGACAAATATAATATTATACCACATTAATTTTATCTTTTATTATAATTTTAACAATTACCTTTAATTCCTTAGCAAACTATATATCTTTTCATATATTTTTATAAATTTCCAAATCAGAGAAAATAAACATATTTCCTCATTCATCACCTAATGTTTCTTGGTTCAGAAGTGATAGCCACTTTAATCTTAACAGGTCCTAAAAATATACAGATTGAACTAGATCTGTCCATTGTCCAAGGGCCTTTACTACCATAAATATTATTTTCTTTGGAAAAATAAATTCATTATCTAAGATGATTGTCTTCTAATTATATCTTTAAAGCTGTATAAGTAAACAAAAAATCAGACTGACTTGTAAACAATACCTCTACACAGATGATACTGACCCTATTAGAAGTGGTATGAAACTCCGTTTGATCACAACTGAAGAAACAGTATCCTTTGTTCTTTAGCACCAGAATTTAACAGAACGCTCCCAGGAAGTACTTTATGCAGTGATCTCTACAACCTCAGCAAATACTATCATTATCCTTAACAGACTGCAACATCATATAGTGGATCCATTCTGAATAAAACTAGAGGCGAATTTCTTATCTGACATGGTGAAGAAGATATGAATTCTAGTTTAAAGGGGTTGTATGGATCAATATGTTACCTATTTAAAATTAGAGTAAAAGTAAAATACATTAAAGAAGTAATACACTTTCCTCCATGATTCCAAAGGCATTATCTGAAGGCATAAAACACCCACCCTTGTGGGGTTTCAGAGCTGTGGTCTTAGAAACTGATTACCATAGACACAAACAGGTATGTCTGTCTGTGCAGGTAAAAGAAACTAAATGAAAACTCCTTCACCTTTTCCTTTTCCAACATTTTTCAAATATCTTCCTAGAATTTGGACAGCCCTCATATTTTTTCACTATGAGCCAAAGATGGTGAAGAGTCACCTGATGTCCCCACATCTGAGGTAGTCCTAAGTATCCTTTGTCTCTCTCCCAAAACTGGTGGTGTTTTACGGCAAAAATAAAACTAAATAAACAAAAAATACCTCTTACACACACATGCCATTAGCACAGAAAATTTTTGTTTTCAAATCCAACCTCTGCCCCTTTCTAGCAGCATGAACAAGAACAGACATAATAATTATTCATAGTGATTTTTTTTTAAGGATGAGAAGGTACAACACCAAAAAGAAACAACATTCTGCCTGATAACAGAGTAGATTTTCAGTTTCTTCCTTTTCTGATGAAACGCATTCAAGTAAGTAGCGGAACACATACAGGGATTATGAAAATGAGCTATTTATCAAAATATGCCCCAATCTAAATCACCTAAAAATATTAGGGGGGAGGTAGAAAAATTGAAGTCAGTATTCTAACACCTTATGATGAACTTACTCAAAGTATGCTTTTATTGGAATTTAGAAACAATGTTCAAACTTTGAAATGTTTGTAGAGAATGTTGCATAAGTTAAATCCAGTCCTAGCTCTATTCTTTCTCAGAAAAGATTTCAGAAAATAATCCAGTAGCGCCTAAATGACCACACTGAAAAGAAAATTTATTGATACATGGTTAAAATGGAAGAAAGAGGGGTCAGTCGTTGGCATAGTGGTTAAATCCACATGCTCCACTTCAGCAGCCCAGGGTTCACCAGTTCAGATCCCAGGCATGGACCTAGCACCACTCATCAAGCCACACGGTGGCAGCATCCCACATAAAAATAGAGGAGGATTGGCACAGATGTTAGCTCAGCGACAACCTTCCTCAAGCAAAAAGAGGAAGATTGGCAACAGATGTTAGCTCAGGGCCAATCTTCCTCCTCTCTACCCCAGCCCCTCAAAATAAAAAGAAGAAGAAAGGCTCACAGAAACCAAACATTTTCTAGGTAACAATTTTAAACAT